CATGTTTCATTATTTAGAAGAGAATAAGTTAAAAATATATAGATGGAAACTTTTACAATTCATATTACCAACAAAACACTTATTGTTTAAATGGAAACAGAAGAATGACGGTCTATGTAATGTATGTAACGAAGAAGAAGATTATAATCACTTTTTTATTTCTTGTCGATTTTTAGAAAAATTTTGGAAAAGTATTTATGAGTTAATGATAAAATCAAATTTAAATTTTAGAATATCGTTTAAGCAATTATTAGTCTTCGGATATAAAATGTTTGACAAAAATTATTTTGGTCTGAATTATTTCCTAACAATTTTAGGTTTTTCTATTTATAAGTCATATTATGTATCTAATCAGAAATTGACAAATGTAAATGTTTATCAAATTTTTGTTCAAGAATACATTAAAAGATATAACGAAAACAGAACAATGAAATTTAATCCATTACTGAAGTCACTAAAAAGAAGTTTAGACGATTGAATAGAATAAAACATAATGCATTAAAATGTTGTAAAATTATATTTCAAGAAATTTATACATATTATTATAATATATACATATATACCAGCAGCTTATTACTAACCTGGGTAATCAGTGGAATATAACAGGATACATCAAGAAAAGCTTGGTTTCTTGGTGTGACAATGTAACAAGCATATTTGGTGAAAAAATATATAACGTCGTTAAAAAAAAAAAAAAAAATAATTGTGATGATTTTTTTTTTATTGAACTATTATAATATATGACAATTAAACTAAAACTATATAGGAAAAGGGAGAAAATAAGCACAGTGTATTCCCAAAGATAACGAGTGAGTGAACACAATCAGTACCTTGTATTATTGAAAGAAGAGCTGTGGGCTACTCATGTTTTATTACTTAATTTTGCTCTTCTAGTCTTTATTAAACTATCTATTAATTTTATCATTATGTTATTAACCATTAGATCTTCATTTGACATCAACCATATAAATTTTGAATTGTCATTTAAAAATTTAAAATTAGTAAATTTAGAAGATAAATCTAAAATGAAACTGAACCTTTCAGTTCTAAGTGATGGACACTGAAGAAGAAAATGAATTTCATCCTCAACAATATCATTATTACATAATTTACAAAATCTTTTGTCTGAGGGTATTCCTTTGTGTCTTCCCTTTTCTATTTCAAGTTCATGGGCACTGATTCTAAATTTGGATAACTCATTTATTAATTTACAACTTTTTAACAGTAAATATTTTTAAAGGCCATTACTATTTTTAAATATTCTATAAATTCGTAATTTATTTCCTTGCGCCATGCCAGGTTTGTCATTATTTAATTGATTGAACCAAATTTCATCATATTTAATTCTGAGTCTTTTAATGATAATTGACTTTATATTAGATTTTTGATTTAACAAATATTATGGGGTTAAATTTATATATTTGAATAATGAATAAATGCTACCCAATGTAGGGCTCAGCTTATTCCCTTGACGGACACCAATATCTGATGGGAAGTTTTCAGTTAGTGTGTTACTATTAGTTTTTACACACAAAGATGTGTTTTAATACATATCTTTAATTACATTATAAAATAAATGACTCAATCCGAGCTTCCTCAATTTAAAAAATAAGGTTAAGTGCCAAACTTTGTCGAAGGCTTTTCTAAAATCAACAAAACAGGTATAGAGGCATTTTTGTTCCTGCTTAGTATATTTATTAATCAACGTTTTAAGTACAAACATGTGGTCACTAGTTCTTTATCCTTTACAAAATCCTATCTGCTCTGCACCAACTATATGTCTTTTAGTTAATCACATTTCTAATCTATTATTAAGTATATTTTTAAAAAGAGTTTTCCTATACAACTACCTATTGTGATGCCTCTTAAATTGAGGGATCATCTTTTGATCCGTTTTCATGTATTGGAACAATAAATTTTTTAGCCTATATTTCAGGATACTTTCCTGTTGGTAACACTTTGTTAGAAATCTTTACAAAACATTTAGGTAGATATGATTGGCTGCACTTAAGCATCTCATTTATTATGGAGTCAAAGCTGCTTGATTTATTGTTTTTTAGTTATTTGACTGCTTCATTTATCTCTTTCTATAATCCAATTCTGTGAAAATTTTATGCTTTTCTAGGTTATTAAATGAATCAATTAGTTCTTTATTACCAGGTAGGGAATTTGAATTAAGCTTTTTAAAATATTGTTACCAATCTGAGTTTGATATATTAGATGCATCTCTTTTTTGAGAGGATTGATTACTGAGAGACTGTAGATAGGCCCAATATTAGGATGGATTGATATCTCTCATGTTGTCTAATTGTACAATAAGATCTTTACGGAACTGTTTATATTTATTTTTTCTAATTTTCCTATAAAGTTTTAAAAAACTAAAGAAATTCCTTCTCACTATAGGGTCATTATTATATTTTTTAAAATAGTTTATCCTTGACATCTAATTTTTTTTGCATTTTAATTAAAGAAAAATCAAACCACTTTGGTTGTTTCTTTTTATTTTTAGTCTTTGAATTAAAGGAGTTAATTTTAGGGAATATTTGTTATAAAGATTTATCAGCTGTCTCATAGATTATATCATTTAGTTTTGGAATATGACAGTTGTTTTCCATTCGTTTGATGTGTTTGAGCTTTTGATTTTGCCATTAGTTAAGGGACTTTCCGTTTTGAGGATTTTCCTTGGCGTTCGGTATTTTTGTTATTTTAATTTTTACAAGTTTATCTGTCCAATTAATATTTGCTATTTTGTCTTTACTGTTTTTGAGTTTTATAATTCATATCCCTCATGTTTCATTTTCTTTTGATAGTGATTTCAAGCTTGATACTGGTTGTTTGTTTGATGATTGTTATTTGCACTTTTAAAATTAAATTCGGCAATATTTTTTAATGTTTCGTTTTTCTTTTTTTGAAATGATCCACTTTCTAAAAAACTGATTTCTTGCAGTTTTGTTGTTTGGTCCATTTTAACAAACCATTGAAAATTTTGTGTCATTAATTTGCATATGTACTAACACAATTCTTCCATCTTTGTCTGTAAAATGGTTTATAACCTTATAACAATACATTGTTAATAAATACCGAGACCCCCTGCTTGCGGATGTACCATTACTGCAAACAACATCAAAGTCAGTATGATTTGGGTTTCGATTTTAATAAGTAAATCTATATGATTTCTTGTATTAAGGCTTTTGATATTTTTTGACATTTTAACCATGTCAAAACGCGGTTACTCTTTTCTCTTGAGTGCATGCCATTTACTTTAAGACTGCAAAATTTTACCTTGATATCAAATAAAATATTAACAAGTTTACAATTCTATCAAAACTTTGAAATAATTCATGCAGTTCTCATTGCACATGTCTATCAATTTGGTATAACAATACTGGTAATAATTATATACATCATCATGCACAACTTCCTACATAATTGTTTTTTAATTGTACATACATACTGTTTGAAACACAGATACATAATTTGTTTATACATCTTTTGTGTAACTGATTTCTATGTTTCTACAACAAGGAATTTAAAATACACTCTCGTAACATACATTTCCGGATTAAATATATACATTGAATGAGTGAAACTAGTATAAATATATATATATAAATTTTTACGGAATTTATCGGAATTAACTTTGTTGAATGGATGTTTTGGAACAACGGGTAAGTAATATATCATCTTTATTATTCATATAAAACACGGAAATGTATTTTAGAATGAATATCATGTAAAAAAAAATTCTTAGTTAGTGTGTGTATACAATTTCACTTTTCGAAATAAATATAATATTAATATTATTATAATCAATTATAATCTGATTATATATTTAATTCCCTATCGTTTTATCTGTATTGATGTCTTTTAATATTGACTGGTACAGATCACATCATATTTTAGTTGTTTCAAAGCTATTCAAATTCCCGTTGTATGTACCAAAAGGTGAAATGTAAAAGATTTATCACTGTTCTACTCCACCATGTTTTTAATATTTTTGTAAAATTACATATATTTATATCTTGCTCAACTTTATCATAACAGATCCTTCTTTAGTACCACAATTTTTTGGATGCAAAGAAATCTGCCTGCCACGCAGATTTAAACCTTTAATTAACAATGACAGTCCGCCTTCCTCCTTATCCATATATATTCTCCACATATTTCTGATTCTTGGATACCTTTCATGAATCGGCACGGACTATGAGAAATATTTCGACATTTGTAAGCCATAAAGATCTAGCGGATTCGACAGAGCCGTTTATATCTTCATCAAGAAGAAAGATGGGTTTTCATTCGATTGTAAATTGTTTGTTGAATTGTTTTTATCTTGACTAATGTGAACGACGTAACTGTATGCACTCATAACGTCGCCAAGTAAACATGTTCCCCTTAAATTAAAACTATCACATGATATAGCTGAATTTATCTATTTCGTCATTCATTTGAGAATTAAGAATCAGTATATTTTAAGTCAAATTACTAATTAATCAGAAGTGATCATGATATATATAAAATACCTTTAAAATATATTTATTATTCTCTATATTTATTATTTCTATTTTTGGCCTAAAATGCCATAAATTTCAACAACTCGTATTTCAAAATCTTAAACTGTTACCCCAATACTTTTAAATTTTCTGGTTATATCTACATGTATATGTGATACTAAAAAAAGTACACTTTCACTTAATGCCTTTTCAGTCAAGGCTTTAAATATAAAGAAAAGTAAAATAACAAAAATACCGAACTCCAAGGGGAATTCAAAACGGAAAGTCCTTCATAAAATAGCAAAATCAAAAGCTCAAACACATCTAACGAATGGTAAACAACTGTCATATTCCTGACTTGGTAGAGGCATATGATATATTATAATTGTTATCTAATTGTCATGATTAATTTTATTAAATACGCTTTTCTTCTTCTTCTATTTTGTTATGTACTAAAGTAGATATAAAATCGTAAAATACACATAAGACATTCATAACTTAACAGCTTACATGGCTAAATTTTACGTCGACAGCCGGCTCCGTTAATTTCTCTAGGCTGATAGATTGCAGCTGGTCTCTTGCCTGAAAATCTGTTTTGTCAAATGATAGTAAACGTATATCTGGAAAGCAATAGAACAAATGGTATGAATAAGTATGAATAAGATTTAAACATTGCAATTATATAAATCGTGTATTTCTTCTAAAACCTAAATTCCATCTCTCCCGTGCACGTGAACACCAAATTCCTGACTACTAGGCTTGTGATACCCATTTAAGAAAAATATACTAGTAGTGGCACCAGCCTAAGTGTTTGTCAACCTAACCCTAACTATAATCTTAACCCTAACCCAAAGTCCTGTTATTCAAATGCGCCAGACGCACGTTTCGAGTACATTCGAATCATCAGTGGCGCTGGAATTTAAATCGTTGAGAGGCAAAAACAAGTACAAAGTTGAAGAGTAATAAAATCAAATATTCAAAGATGTACCAAAAATGGCTAAGGTAGTCATTGCCTGAGGCATAAATTTTTTTGTGTATCCAATATTTTAGATTTAATCAACAATAAATTTACAAATAAGATGGTATCAAGCATATTCATGTCATCAGAGAAGTCCGAACTACAGGCCTGGTGATACCATAGGGGTCAAATCGTCCACTAGAAGTGTAATCGACCCAGCGGTTTTTAACAAGAGTGCTGACGCTTAAATGTCTCCCCTGCTTTTCTAATTATGATCGATTTTAAGATAAAGGTTTTACTACAAATATCGCTTGACTTAACTTTACACTATCAATGATCAATGACAAGCAGGTCAATGTCAGGTGAACCCTGCCGGGCCTTACAATAAAAACATACACAAAAAAAGTTAACTTATTGCTAAAAGAAACAAACCTAACCATGAAACTTGACATTGACCGATGAATAATGAAATGAGGTCATGATTAGATGACACCTGACAGACAGACATGTACAATCATTCACTCACCACATATAGTTGGCATTTTACTTATAGTATCTAAGAAACAGACTTAACCAGGAAAAATTTTGACTAAAAATCCATGAAAATGAGGTCAAGGTCAAATAAACCCTGCCAGACAGATATATACACCTTACTATTATTTCATACACCAAATATAGTTGACTTATTGCTTATAATATCTGAGAAACTGTTTTTTCGAGTGACACTGATGATTTGTGTGTAGACGAAACATGCGTCTGAAGTACTGAATTATCAGCTTGGTATCTTTGAAGAGTTTTAAACCACTTATTTGATACCACTGATGCAGGACAAAGTTGAATTGCAATGAAAACCAAAAATTAACAAAAAAGTTGTACCAGGGACGGCTACGGTAATCTATGTCTGGGGTAGAAAATCCTTAGTGTTTCCAATCACCAGTAAATTCAAAAAAAAATATCGTATCACTCATATTTCATATCAACACACAAGTAGCCAGATTTTGTCTGAAACGGTAATTTTGGTCTGATCAAGTCTTAATTCACTGCGTTTACCACAAGAGAAAAACGTTAATACTTTTTTCAGATATTCAGTCGCCGTTCCGATCGATATTCACTGCATGCATTTAAGACCTGTTTAGAAATGTCAAGATACACAAGACGGATTGTTCTAGCCTTCAATTAAGACATGATCAGACCAGGGATGGGCACGATTACTGACAAATGTAACAGATTAAAAATCAATTATTTGAAGGATTTCTGTGCAATCGTTTTATAATCGATTGCAATCAATTACTTTTTGATTACTGTCAATTACATGCTACAAAATTATAAAGAAGTTAAACACATTTATGTTCCTCAACATATATTTATAACGAAATTTTAGAACTTTACAAAAACATCACATAAAGCATAGTTTCTTAATGTTATGTCGACAGTTGTTTTCTAGATGGAAGCTCTTACCGGGGATCTGAAATATTTAAAAACTCTTAAAATTTTGCATTTCATCAACATGAGTGATTGGTGATAAATTTCTTGCAATGACATGGACCATTGCATCAATCATTTCTTGATATTTTATTTCATTCGTTCTATGTTTTGCAAATGTTTGCTGTCATGCTAACTTAATTTTGTCTTAATCATTATTAACAGGTATATTTGATTATAATTCATTACAATGTTTGAAGTTTTCTCTGAAAAAAGATATAAAAAAGTAGAATAATTAGTTCAGCTAATTTTTAGGATGCAAATTTAAAATTCATAATTACAAGCATCAATTTATCATTTTGTTTTGATAGTCTTCCTAATAACAAGTTATAAAACTGCCAATGGATATAAGGGCAATATAATGTAAATCTCCCACTTAAAAATACATAATTGAAATCAAAACAAAGTCTGCATCTGATTGATTAGAAGTCTTTGATCATCTGATTATCAAAGACAAGATGGCAGTTGAGAAATCTTTATTATCTATTCAAAATTATAAACTATACATATTTTAGTGTCAAAATTGGATACATTTATCTATCAATGAACAAGAATTTCAATGCATTTGTTCATCGTCAATAGGTTTTTGTATCCTTCTTAATCTTTATATCGTAACATTATAATGAATCAAATGTTTATCTTTTCTATTTCAATCTGATTTCTCATTTTTGATATATAAGGTCTTTATGCATTGACAAACATTGAAAGTTGTTTAAATTGATTCTAAAGCTAGACATACAGTAAAATTTGTTAGGAGATCTGGTTGAACATAATTCGGCTTGAGACAACAGATCTGAATAAGGCATTTGATAGAACTCTCAAGTCATGTTTATACATAGACTGATGCATAAATGCAGTTGTATATTTTCATTTAAACTAGGTAATAGTTCATCAAACTATTTTAATAAAGTAATCGAAATGTAATCGAAAAGTAATCGATGATAACATCACAATTTTTGCTGTAATCGATTAAATTACTATTACATGTAGTTGAAAATGTTGTCGATTACAGATTACTGTCGACTACTTGAAGAAATGTAATCAATTACAATAGATTACGGTTACAGATTACGATTACCCCATCCCTGGATCAGACCAAATCACACTAAATCAGACTACAGCCAAAAAATCTATAATCTATGCAAAAACGGTAAGGGTAACATATGCCTGGAAATCCTAAGTGTTTCGAATATTATATTTCAATAAAATGTCATATAACAAGACGGATTGCTCCAGCCTTCGATTGGGACATGATAAGACATGATCAGACCAAATCAGACCACCGTTAAAAATGCGATTTAGATTTTGTCAGTTCGTGTTCAGTCGTGTTCAGATTTCAAATATGTGGGTGCAGACCGGACGAAACTTTCTCAGTTTTTCTCAGTAGTGCTCCTCTTTATGAATAAGATCGGAGCGTCTAAGAAATTCGTTCGCAGTACTTTAATGTAACATTAAATGTCTGTTTCGTTTAATTTCCATTTTTTCAATAGAATTTTTAAATTCAATTTGTAATGTGAGTAAGTGATAAATGTGATATCCGAATGAACGTGAGTAAATCAACAAAACTTTGCGGTCGTCGTTCCTAGTTATTTATTATGAGAAATTACTAATTTTTTTATTTCCTACGTAAACATATTATGATTGGCAAAAAAGCTGGAGCAACTTTTTTTAAACAAATGCCAATCTATGCTATTTGAAAGCACTTGACAATGTCTTTAAAAGTGGCATGATTTCTATTTAATCATACAATACTTGTAAGTTTGTGCAATAAAAACTACCTTAGCTATTTTTCACGGGTGTACGAATTCCACAACGTATAATCGGTACCACTTTGTCATATCTATAAATCTGTAAAATAACTGCACTAAGTCCAGTATTTGTCAAGGAAAATATATTTCGAAAATAATATTTAATTTGTATGTGATATAAAACCTTTATCACGCGCATGCTAGATTCAATCTATCTAATCAAATTATCTGGAGTTTTCGTACCGGAATTGAATCAATTTTGCGTGTCACGATCCAGATGAATTTTATAGATATTTATACAGATATTTGTTCAGTCAGACATGTATATAAATAATATAATTTGTGAAATTGTCGTCAAGAACAAAGAATTGCTCTTGCGGTCTTTGCGCGAGACGCCTTTTTCATAGTTTCAATTATACATAGTTTTACCATACGCTTTTATACATATATTCACATTTGGCCTAACTTTGGTTCACCTGTGTTAAATAAAGGCAACAGTAGTATACCGCTATTCAAAATTCATAAATCGATTGAGGAAAAAAAACAAATCCGGGTTACAAACTAAAACTGAGGGAAACACATCAAATATAAGAGGAGAACAACGACACAACAGAAACTCACCACTAAAATGCAACACACACAGAAACGAACTATAATATTGACAATCGTAGAAACAGATTTGACAATTATATTTATATTAGGTTATAGCCTGCACTTGAGTATTACAATACTGTGCTGTAAAGGAGTGGGTCCTACAGTCATAACAACATGAAAAACATATCTACAATTATAGTGTGAAGCTGTCGTGCACGTTACATATATTCGTCCTACCGGACTGGCATCTACGATACAAAGGAAAAAAATTTGAACAGACGAAAATCTCAGCGGTTATTTGGGACATTTTTTTTTTTGGACTTTGAATCATTTGTAATAAGTTGGGGTTTTTTTCTAATTGATTTTGTTTTGTTTATTAAATAATTTAGTTATTCTAACTTATAGTTGATTTTTGATCATATTGTAAAAAAGCATTGAAAGACTGCACCATCTGTCCGTCCGTGACAGTGCGTTCACACGTGAATTTATTTGTATTGGTGGAACGGCAGTATTTCCTGGGACATAGGAATTATGATACCCTTTTTAGATTGATCACCATTTTCTTGTCTTTCATTTTTTGCTTATGTGCTTTGTCTATATACCATTTTGTTTTTCTTTGTTACATATTTGTTTGTTTTAAGAGTGATTAAGATTAAAACAAAATGTTGACTGCTGTACCCCTACTTTTGACATTTTTACCTTTTATGTCTGGGTTTTTTTTCACACAATATAATGTTATGCGACTGTCATACAAGTGAGAGGATTAACTAGCTATAAAACCAGGTTTAATCCACCATTTTATACATAAGGAAATGCCTGTACCAAGTCAAAAATATGA